ATGCTGCTCCCCGTCCTGCTCTCCACCATGCACCCTTCATCCCTCCATCCCGCTCCCCATCCCGTCCTCCATTCTGCCCCCTCCATCCCCCCCATCCTGCTCCCCACTCTGGACACTTCCATTACCCCATCCTACCCTCCCATCCTACTGCCCCATCCTACCTCCTCATCCTGCCCCCCAATTCTGGGCCCCATCCTGGTCCCGTTCATCCTCACATCCTGCCCCTTCCATTCACCCATCCTGCTCCCCTCTGCTGCCCCACCTTCCTACTCCTACCTCCTGCCCCGCTCCTGCCCCTCTGTCCCCTATCCTGCCCTCCTCCATGCCCCTCTCCTGGCCCCTGTGCTGCTCTGAGCTGTTGAGGGTCTTGCTCATGCGCGTTGGCCCCATGGAGCACCCAGTGCTGGGGAGCCCCCACCATTGAACCCCCCATCCCCACCATCCCGGGGCAGCGGCACCTCGTGCCATGGCCACAGAGCGCAGGCACACGGGCTCTGCCTGGGCACCAGCTCCCGCTCCGGGACCCCCACGCGGGGCGATGGCGACTCCGCTACCTCCCTTCCCGCCCGCGCTCTCGTAACCCCACCCTGCAGCTCCCRCCTGTGCCGAGCAGGGCCAAGCAAGGTGAGGAGGCCGGAGGAGGCCACAGCCTCTCTCACCCGAGGCCCCCAGGCACCTTTACTCATACGCGAGTGCAAGGTGGAAGAGCACAGGCTGCATTTGAATGCTCTCTGGTTGCAGATATGGGAATGAAAGGTACTTGACCTCACTCTGCCTCTTTCCAGGGGGCTGGGAAAGCCAGGAGGATGGATCCCATAGATCCCATGGATCCCATGGGTCAGCATCATCCAGGTTATGGAGCAGAAGGGGACACTCAGGACACTCTGCCTGGCACCACTGACCACAGGACCCCCTAACAAGGGCGCCCCCGTTGTGCACAGTCTCCCCCCGTCTCCGGGACGCTGCTCGGCAGGAAAGTCATTTCCCAGGCCCTCCGTGACCTCCAGCTGCTCCACAGGGCTCTGGTGACATGGGCTAAGAACGAGGCCGCCCGGACACGGGAACTGCAGGAAGCCGGGGAAAAGCTCCTCCTTCCTTTGCAGCTCCTTCYCGAGAGCAGCAGCGGAAACGGCCATCGCAGGATCCGGTGGGATCCGGAGCCGGGGAAGGGCCGGGGGCTCCTCTGTCCTCGTTCYCGGGGCAGAGGGAGCAGAGCAGGAGGAAGAGGGTCGGGGCAGAGCRGGACAAGGCAGCGTGGCCGGAATGTTCAGGCTCTCCCTTGCTGTGGAGGCAGCTTGCAGGGTGTGCCGCGCTTCCGAGCTGGGACATCCCTTGGGATGGCGCCGCTTCCCGCTTCCCGGGAGTGTCCGCACCGCAGACACGCTGGGCTGGGCCGGGCCAGCTCTGCTCATCCACCACCTGGAAATGGCTCCAAGGCCACTCCATGTCCCACGGGGAGCAGCGGAGGCTGGACCAGGAGCTCGCTGGCCACATGGAGCATCCTGTTTATGCAGCCCGAAATAGCAGCTCCGGGCCAGGCTGGCTGCTCGCCTCGCTCCCTGCCAGCCAAACAARCCCCCAGGAGCCCCCACCGGGACCTGGCACCCCCAGAACGCTGCAGGTGGGCTGCACTGCCTGCAGCATCTGTCCCCCTGTGCCGCAGCRGGGGTTAGGACCTTAATTTCTGTGCGTGATTTAAGGCAATTGAAGCCCTTTGCCTTGATAGCACACAAACTCGTCAACATYGCCTGCTTTTGTTTTCACACGTTCCTCATCACTCAAGGTCACTTCGAGTGGAGAGTCCCTCGAAACCAGAAGATTTACCTTTTCCCTCTGAAATGCCTCACAAGAATGTCCCCCCCTTGCCCACGTGCTTGTTTTCTGCTTGTTTTCAGCTTGTTTCCCCAGCTAAAATGTTGTCAAAATTCTCAGGTTCTCGAGGGAAATTGGGCTTCAGCAAAATCTCATTTCCAATAGAAAATTGTTGCACAGGAGGTTTTTAAACCCTTTCTCTAGTGCCAATCTCTGAGGAGCCGAGCACTGAATTCATTCATAACTCTGAACAACCAGAGTTACTCAATGCCTGGGTAATTAAAAGAGGAGAAAACACTGTCGTTCCTTCCCCCTCACTAAAACAAAATGTAAGCGTGCACAATACTAATTTAATTATTAGCACAATTCATTGATAAAAAATGAATGAGGTAGTGTATAACCCAGGTAGTGCACACAAATCCTGCTAAGCAGGCAAAAAAAATCCTATAAAACAACCCTGGCCTTGAAAACCAGGTCCCAAGCGCTGCGCGCTGCGTGTCGAGCTGTGTCCCTCTCCCTCTGACCACTGAGGCGTTTCATAACTAGGAAAGGAAAACTAATTAAGAGGTGGAAACCAGAAGGCGCCGATGCTGTTAACRTGTAAACAGGAAGATTATGTTTGCAGGAAGCAGAAATAGTGGGCAAACAGAGAGCGGGTGCCCTAGTGCGGGTGCAGGAAAGCCCTGGGGTGYAGGCTGAACCCCTGCAGCCCCAGCTCTGGCCCCGCTGCTTCGGCCCCAGCAAGCTGACACCGAGACGTTTTATCCGAGAGCCTTTTTGGTGGCGAGAAGTGTTGTGGAGGCTCCAGCAGCAGCAGCGCTCGAAGGGCATTGGCCACATCCTCCGTGCCCAGCACATTGCTGCCCGAGCCCCTCCGTGTTGCCCCACTGTGCCCCATCGCTGCCCAGAGCCCCACAGCCCCGCTGTGCCCCAGCCTCGGGCTGCACCCAGRGCCTGGCCTGGCCTCCACCTTCTGCGGCCTCCCTCCCCCTTCCCCTCTGCTTTCACACAACGCAGATATGGATTTTTTTCTAAAAAAAAAATTACACTGCGATAAAGCAGCTAATCATCGCGGCTAATTACATATCGCTAAACAGATGTAAACAGTTCTTATCTGTCTGGAGCGGGGCTGAATTATCTGTTGGCCCAACTAGCTGCTAAATCAAGGCATTTTCCACTGACTGGAGGCTGGGAGCAGTGGCGCTCTGGTGCTTCCAGCCAGCTGCGTGTCCATGTGGCGCACTGCGCAGCCCGGGGCTCGCCCCACGTCTGCCCGACATCGCTGCCCCGTGTGTCCAGCTTGCTGAGCAGACACCATCGCTTGGCGTTGCGAGGGTGGGCAGCTCTTGGGGCATTTCAGGGCGCCTTGCAGAGGGCAGTCGCCATTCCCCGCATGCCAGTCCTGCTGGGAAGGAAGGAAAGAAGCAGCGGGGGATGTCCCAGGGCTCTGGAGAGGCTCTGTCCTTGCGGAGGGCTCCGCTGTGCAGCTGGGCTCCTGGCAGAGCCATCCCCATGCAGTTTGCACCCCGCTGCTCCCTAAATGGCTGCATCGGGATCATTCCAGTGGGATTTACTGCTCTGGGAGATAACACGGTGATTAAGCAGTGCTGAATCAGGGCTCGGGCTTCTGCTGAATCAGGCAGCGAGCCTGAGTGGGATCAATAAGGGCAGCCGGCAGCTCGGACGGGGCCACCTCGTGGAGAGGCAGCTCCCAGGCCAGCCGAGGCTGCAAGGGACACTGCACCCGAAGTACCAAAGCGGGGTCCCCGGGGTGCGCGCAGGGCTCAGGGCTCCGCGGTGCTGCACATGTCCCTGGGCAGGTGGCACCAGTCCCTGGGGACCTGTGTGTGCAGGGGAGCAGAGCGGCGCTCGAGGTGCCCCCGGGGCTGCGAATCCTTCGGGGAGGCTCCCAGAGGAAGGAGCAGGAGCTCGCGCAGCGCCCACCGCTCACGGCCGCACGGCCAGGGMGGCCGCGGAGCCGGCGGGAGGCGGCAGCGGGACCCCCCGCCCGGGCTCGGCGCGGCCGGGCGGCTCCCGCGGAGCACCAGGCCCCTCTGCCGGTCGGCACCGGGATAACGGGAGCCTGGCCCCAGCGCCCGGCATCTGAGAGCACCGGGGCTGCTTCAACACCCCGAATCGCCCCGGGTTTTCCAGATGCGGATGAGGTCGAGGGAGCTGCAACTGCTGGGGCATTTGCAGCTCCGCCGGCACCCCCAAGACCTCCTGCCATCTCCTCCCCTTTCGCCATCTCCTCTTGCCCCGTCCCTCTCCTGCTCGCAGGGATGAGCAGCAAAGCTCACAGTTGAGCCCGCCCGGGCTGCTGGAGCTGCAGTCACCTGCACATGCGGGACCAGGAGGATCCCAGGGCAAGGGCAGGGACACCCCCCTGCTCCTGGTGCCTGCTCCAGCCTTGCAGGGGCACATACTGGACTTGCACCCACAGCAGGAAAAGGTGCCCACCCCAGCGGTCAGGCAACCACCCTCCTAGCAGAACTGCAGCAAACTTTGTCATCATTGTTATCTGCACTGTCATTTTTCCTCTCACCAAAGGTTTGCAGCTGCTCAGGAACAGTCTCACCACCCACCAGTGAAGTCAGACAGCTCTTCCCTACCCGGGGAGCAAACAGAGGCGCAGGGCCTGGGGTCGCAACCCCAACACACCCTGCAGGCTTAGAAGTGCCTGGTACCCTGCAAAATCCAGGTC